CAGAGGGGGTGTGCAGGATGCAGCCAATCAATGTTTCTTTCTCACATTGATATTTCTATCTCTCTCCCTTCCTTTCTCTCTCTCAAAAAAAAAATTCACTAAAAACATTTTTAAAGAGAGAGAGAGAGAGAGAGAGAGAGAGAGAGAGAGAGAGAACTGTGGTGGCTGGCTTCAAGTTGAGTGTCAATAATAGAGAGCCAAGTGACTACAGGTCACATTTATCAAGGATGCTACCCTCAATGCAATCGATGGAGGAAGGGCTCATTAGCTTTGCACCAGTAGTTAGGTGAAGTCAACTAGAGTTGCATGTGGAAACAGTACCCACCATTTTAGTAGTTGTATTCTATCGAAGCCAGAATGTTTCCTCTTTAGTAATGGCAGGGACAGAAATGTTAAAAAGACTCAACTTAAGCTTGACCTGGGCCCGAGGCTAAGGCGACTGGATTCCATTCTCATGTAGGCCTCTTGGCTAAGGTGACTAAATAACTCCATTTTTATCATCAATGGACCTTCCTTGATATTTTTCTAATAATAGGTTAATTACCCCTAGAAGTGAAGGAATTTTGCCTGAGATTATAGTTGCCCCACGTGTTGGGAAGCATTTGCAGTTGAGTGCCAGTAACTGCAGGCATTTGCAGGTTCTCCTGAGCCTGGTGAATAATGCTAATTTTGACTTCTGTAATCGCTGTCACACCCACTATTGTACCGGTCCCCTGAGGGGTGGTGGTGGCAAAAGGAGGACGGGGCTTCTGTCTTTAAAATCGGACAGCAAGAAGAATCGTGGCTGCTGATCTGAGGGGAGACTATGCCCTCCGCAGCCCGCTGGTGAGAATAAAGCGCTCCTTTACAATTTGTTGTGCGTCTCTGGTTATCTCGCTGACACATTATAACAAGCTCACAAAAGGATAGTCACTAACTAAGAAAGAAAAGGTTTTGTGTTGGTAGTAGTCACAGATGTTGTCCACCTAAAAGCTCCAGTCTCCCTCTCAAAACCACAGTAATACTGGAGTTCTCCCATCTAACCAAGACATTCCCCTCAGCTTGACTAAACTTTAGACAGGCTTTCTTCCTGCCTCTAAATCCTTGACTTCCCTCTTCTGTAGGAAACTTGTAATTGTAAATTCTTTTTCTGCTCCTTTGAGATGTAAGTCTTTTAAAAAGCTTCTTGCAATTTTACAACCCAGGAATGTCTTTCTCAAGGACATAAGAACAATGCCTTTGAAATGGAATCCTCAAGGAAGACAGCACCCCTATCTCCCCGTTTCTGTGGAAGGTTAGGAGCCTGACTTCGGCAGGTACCCTGCTGCCAGTGGTAAAACTCTCTCTGGTCCTGAAGATAAGGAAAAATGGACTTTTCCTTTGGGTAAAAGCAATCAGCAAACACAGGTGGCCTAAGATCCCTGACTCCTCTTCAAATTCTCAAGTCCTTTGTTTCAGTAGAGTTAAGCACAGGGCGATCTCTGGCCCTTCTGCCCTATTGCAACAGCCTCGGATAAAGTCCTCCTGGCCTATTTAACTTGTTTAGCGCAATTTTTGCTTTGACAAACGCTTTTAGTTTAGTGGGGCCTTGTGACTTGTTTTGGCCAATACAATATTAACAGAATCGATACGTGTCTCTCCTGGGTGAATTTTTTAATTTTTCACCCTCTCCTTCTGGAGATGAACATTATTCTAGTTGATGACAACTCCCATCAGCCTGGGTTGCACAATTAGGATGATGTACAACAGAATTATGAGGTGGCCTCAAAGGACATATTATTTAAGTGAGACTTAAATTTTGTTAAGCGACTAACATTTTGCACTTGTGATACCACACTATGTATCCTAGCATATCTAATTTGATGTAGGTTTATATAACCCTAAAGGGAGGGATGTGCAAATAGAACATCGAGGCATATGGATTCCATGTGGATTATACCAGAGCAAGTGACCAGTAACTGCTTTACATGTGCTACACCTGATTTATTTGAATCATCTATTCAATGATGGCCGTTTTTTGTTTTGTTTTCATAAAAGAAACATTCCTATGAGATACTTTTATAGCCATACTCCCTTGAAGAGTTAGGGCAGAGGGTAAGAAAGAGACCAGACCCACCATTGGGAAACAGATATTAAAGCTATTTAACAACACCAAAGGAATCAGCAATTTCATGGGAGTGGATTTTAGAAAAGAAGAAATTGCCTTGGATTAGTTGTTTGAAGTTACTCTCCAGTGCAATGCTCTGCTCCTATCCCTGAGTTTTCAGTAATATCTTGTTAAATGTGATGGTATACACAGGTCTGTGGGAGGAAACCGAGAGGAAGTTCTGTGTTTGTGATGAGTGGTGTCATAGTGGTGGCAAGAGCCTGGACACCTTATAGGTAGTATTAGGTCTGTGTGGATGACTGGGAGTGGGCTGGACAGGGGTTGTGGACAGAGCAGGGTGGCACCCAGAGTCAGGTGATACTGGGTTGCAGACGACTGTACAGATTCATGTGTTCAAGTATGTGAAATAGCAAACTCTTTCCTTTCTCTGTAATTACTAGAAATTTAAATACTAGATAGGAAAGGGGATTTTTGAAATGGGACCTAAATCCTGCTATCCTACTAAAGAATTATGAATATCAAAGACTTCAAGTTTGGATGATAATGAGACTTCACTTATACCTATTATCTGATGATTCTGGATTAATTTATGTTAAGAAATTATAGTTGTGAATTGAGTTACTAATGTACATTTGATATTTGGAGCAAGCATTTAATGTGTTGCCTATAATCTTGGTGCTGAATTAAAAAGAACAGGCACATTGACCAAAATTATCCAGATTAGCTTTCCCATTGTCACAAATTTACAAGTTTTATTTTATTTTATTTTTTTATGTCTTGTTCATGAGGCCTGACAATGTTTAATTTTATTCAAGTCCTATACTTCAGAAAAAGAATAATGGTTAAGACATCTCTCCACTTTTTGTTGTTGTTCTGGAAAAGGGCTAACTGCAAAATCCTCCTTCATGCAATATAACTTCGACAAGACCACCTCCACTCTTCCCCGGATTCCCTTGTTCACCTGCCTCCACCTCCTCAGGCGCCTTTCCTTTGCTTTTTTCTAAGTAAATTAATGCAACAGTCTGAATGAAAAAAAATCTTCTTAACTGTCTAGTGCATCTCGTCTTTAGCAGTCCTTTACTTGTAGAATATAAACAAATAAATTTTAAAAATATTCTATTTCCCACAAATTGTATTAATTCTCAACCATATATAATATTCATTCTGGTAGATACAAAAGAAAAGCATTTCCCCATCTGGAGTCAGATTATCTACAAAAAACTTGTGTAATCTCTACATATATTAAAATAATATTCAATCATATGAAAAATGTTAATGATAAATTTAGAAAGTTTGATAGCAGGCAACACAGCAGTACACACTCTATGTGATTGAAAATGTGCATGGAATCTAATGAACACAATAAACTAATGAACAAAATAGATCCAGAGACATGAAAGTAGGGAACAGACTGAGGAACCTCAGAGAGAAGCGGGGAAGGGGGGCAGGAAGAGATAATTCAAACAATTTATATGCATATATTCATAACCAATGGACACAGACAACAGTGCAGTGAACGTGGGGGGGGGCAAGAGATGGAGGGTGTCAATGGGGGAGAAAAGAAGGGACATCTGTAATACTTTCAACAATAAAGGTGAATTTAAAATAAAAAAAAAAAAAATGAAATTTTTAAAAATGTACATGCATTTTCACAGACATATAGATGCATACAGGTCCATATGGATGCATATAGGCATAAATAAATGCATACACACAGACAGACACAAAGAAAAAAACAAACTGAAAATGATATATGTTTAAATGCAAACAGTGATGAGTTTAAATGTGTATGTCCAATTTTTCTAACTTTATGCAAGTGAGAAAAAGAATAAGTGATATGGAAATATATTTGAAAATGAATTATGTATATCATTATATCTACTATAGGTCAGAATAAATTATTGTAATTTCTTCTCTTTTACATGAGCATTCAATATTATTTCTATGCCTAACATCTACGCCTAATTATTTCAATGCCTAAAGTCATGGGTAGTACTTTTTCAAAAAGAGTAGGTTTTAAATGTAATATTATCTAGAGTTGACTAGGAAATTATTTTAATGGAATTGTAGGGTTAAAAATTTACATTTTAAAGAAGCAAGACAATATAAGGATGCAGAGTAAAGCTACATTACTTAACTCATTGCTGAGTTCAGACACTGTGAAATCTTCTACATTAAGTATCTTTATTCACCAGAATTCTAGTTTTATTTATATTTCTACAAATAATGATACTGAGGCTTTAAGTATTAAAGTAGGTATCTATCAAAAAACTAATATTTGATGTTGGAATCCTAACTCAGAACCAGCTGATTCATGAGTCTATACTCCTCCCATTATATCATGCTGCTAACATTACACATTGTGGAGCTAATATAAATAATTATGTTAATAAAAACTACCAGATTATCTAAAGTTCTATATTAAAATGGATTTTCATGTCTTCCTTTATTACCCAATGTATGATTTACACTGAATATTACAAAAATATTTCCGACTATATGAAGCATTATATCTTAGAAACTTCTCCAGGAGTTCTTTGTTTTAATTGGTTTCGAATAGATTAAGTGGTTTAATAATGTTGAACTAGTCTGAGATTTACACTGAAAATATATAATGCATAAATAACAGACATTTAAACTAAGTGTCACACTATTATACATATAGAAATTAGCATATAATATATGTTGTAAGGTATTGATTTTATATGGAATTTTATATTAGAAGAAAATTTAGTAAACAAAAGCAAAAATCAATTTTAATATGTCATCAACTCTTTATTTCATTTCTCTAGGGAAAAGACTAGTTTGGGCAAGTGTGAAGCCAATATCTACTTTTAGTCACACTAATTTTTAAAATTAAATTTAGCATACATATAATATATAAAATCTTTATTTCTAACATATCAATTTTTTTCAGGGTAGAGCTTGAACACTGTCCCCCACTACCACAAATTATGCAGTCGAGTTTCCCACATTTGGGGACGTCACAGGGGTCAGTTATCTATGGAGCGCAATGGATAAACCTCGCCCTGGGAAAACCACCTTCGTGACCACAGTATCTCCCCTGCCTGGTAAGTATATCAATATGTTTATTTGTATAAAATGTTTAGTATCAAGTCTGATTAAATTAGAAACATGTAAGTATATTTTCCCATTTTGATAATTAATTTTTAAAATTAGAACTTGACTCAAATAAATTTTGAAAACCAAGATGATCATCTTAGGAAATGCCTGTGAAAATGAAAACTATATTGAACATACTTGTAGAAGGAAATGTGCTCTTTCACATTGGATATGTTCAGGATCATCTTTTTAGATTTAATCACTCAAGTGTTAGTGTGTGCAATGCACAAGTGGACTGGCAGAAGGCAGCCAAAGCCGTAATGTATGTGGGATGCAACATACATTAGGCTATCATTTCCTTTGACTGAATGTCTGTTCTTCAACCCCTAAAATGCAACTTAATAACCTTTCACATGTAAGAGAAAAGTGTCAGCACTTGAGATGTGGGTAGAAGAAAATTCTGTGACTGGACGAATCAGCCTTATGGAGAGTCATTTTTGGACACTAATTTATGGCTCATCGTCATTTGTCATCCTCTGACTATGTTGTGACCTATTCAAAGGCTTCATGTAAACGTTATTTACTGCTTTGCTGTAGATCACTCACGGACGTAAGGGCTACATCAGAGGTTGTAAAACGTCTGTGACAGTGCCATCTGCTAATGGCATCATTTAACCTAAGCTTAACATTTGCACACTCCATCAACCGAGGGGAATGATTAAATAAATTCCTTCTGTACAAAACTACAAGCTCCTGGGCCAAATACCTCACTAATAAACAACCCCAACCACCCCCACAGACTAACTCAAGAAAATGTGAAGGCCAGGGACAAAAGCCAAAATTGAAGGACTCTTTTTAAGATCATATACCTGGGCCTATTACTTGTTTGAGGCTCTATTAATACAAACGTGAGTGGAGGGTCAGCAGTGAGGTGAGGGCAATGTACCAAGAAACGGAAAAGTCCTCGTGCTACCGACTCTTTGCAGGAACTACTCATTTTTCCTACAGCAGAGAAGGGTCTCAATGACTACTTCTCTCTTCTGGGGGTGCTTTAGAAGAGGAAATATTACTAGAGTATCAAAGAGAAACAAGGATCTAGGAATTTTGCTTTTCTGGTCCATCCACCCCGGACATTGATCTGGGTGGAAAGTTGGGCTAGAGTGCCCTCTGATGTCCTTTCCACTGATTACTCAAGTACTGCTCAGCTCTTAAACTCAAAAGCACAAAAAATCTTCCGATTTGTGAATTGGAAAGATTTTCAACAGAGTAATAAAGACCAAACTAAAACCACCAATTATTTATTTTTCCTTCCTGAAAGGGAAATTGTCACAGTTTCTGAGTAGGGTTAAATATGGAAATTGCATGTGTTGGATAGACGGAACACAGAGAAATAGAGCAGTCACACATCTTCAATTCGTAAGCAATGTCAATGTAAAACAGGGGTTCTCAATCTGTGGGTCGCAACCCCTTTGGGGGTCGAATGACCCTTTCACAGGGGTCGCCTAAAACCATTGGAAAACACATATTTCCGATGGCAATTCATAACAGAAGCAAAATTACAGTTATGAAGTAGCAACAAAAATAATTTTATGGTTGGGGGTCACCACAACATGAGGAACTGTGTTAAAGGGTCACGGCATTAGGATGGTTGAGAACCAGTGATGTAAAGAGAGATGCCTATGTGATGAGTGCTAAGTGAAATCCCTCCTGGTAATTAATGAGAAACCGAGCCCACCTTGCTGGAATCATTTCGACATTTTACTATGTCATATGACCTTGTATTCTGGAAAAAGTCAGTGTCTCTCTAGTTTTCTGATCTAAGATGAAGATCCATGGAAATTCTAATTAGAAAATTTCATACTCCAGGTTGTTTTCTTTTCCCTCTAGTTCCTGAACTTATTTGACTTTAATTTTTCTTTCCTTTATTGTTTTAGTCTAGCTGGTACTCTGTGATTAGCCTCTCAGTATACCACTATTGCTTCATGTATTTATGATGTCTCAGAAGCTAGGAAAAAAAATTTTGAGAGGCTCAGTTTAGGGATATTTTTCATGTCTCTTATAGAAACATCCAAATTCTTGAGGTATCAACTAATAAACGAGAGGAAAGATCACATGCAACATGAGGTAATCATATGACCAGAACCTGTGCTAGGCATTTTATTTTTCTAGATAATTGGTCTTATGAGAAATGGAATGTGCAATAGATGGTATCTCAATCTTGCAACGTTTTAAGCTTCAGTAACTCAACTGGTATACATTTAATGCTCTATTTCTTTAGCAGCTAGGCCAAACCAAGAAACGAAGTGGAGAGGGGGTTTAGTAGAGGGGAGAGAAGGCTCTTTTAAATAGAGAGAAAAAATGGTCGTCCAAAAAATCAAAATCAGAAAATGTATAGGATATATGAAGAATCCAATTCAATCTTACTCAATAAACTTTTATAATTTCATTGGGAGATCATATCAGGAGACTATTAGCTAAAAATAACTGAGCTTATCATTTGAATAAAAACTACTAGTATATGTAACTAAATTATAAGGAATATAAATGTGTGTGTGTGTATATATATGTAGCCTTTTTGTTTGTTTGTTTTTGGTTTTTTGGTACATGCCCCTAGCGGGAACCGAACCCAGGACTCTCTGGTCTGCAGGTTGACGCTCCAACCACTGAGCCAAACTGGCCAGAGCTATATATAGCCTTTTTTTTTTTTTTTTTTTTTTTTTTTTTATCCTCACCCGAGGACACTTTTCCATTTTTTGTTCAGGTAGAGTGGGAGGGAGAGAGAGGAACAGAGAGAGAGAGAGAAACATCGATGTGAAAGGAACACATCGAGTGGCCGCCACCCGCACAACCGACCAGGGCCGGGGACAAACTGCAACCGAGGTATATGCCCTTAGCGGGAACCGAACCCGGGTCTCTCAGGACCGCAGGCCGACGCTCTAACCACTGAGCCAAACCGGCCAGGGCTAGCCTTTTTTTTTATTATGGTGTTCCCTATTTGTATTTTTCATGAAAAAGTAAATAAACATGGTCATGTGTACTACAATAAATATCTGATTTCCCAGTTCTTGGCACTTCTGATCCTGGATTTCTATGTCATGATGACCTAGGTAATATTTTCAGAAATCCTGTTTTAAACCAAATTAAGATTTATGGCCATATATTGTGATTTCTGGAAACCAGCAATAATTCCATTCCAAATTGCAGAGACAAATAAATAGTGTTAACTAGGCCAAGTTGTCTATAACCAAATAAGAATACAGGGGAAAAGATGGGTCTTGAGGATACTTGAGGAAAAGTGAAAAATGCTGTTCTGGGAACCGTAAAGATCTTTCTATCTAATTGTAGGGTCAACTGCTAATGCAAGTTAGGGTTGTGTGAGGGGTGTTAACAAAGACATTCCTGCCATTTTCTCTGCCCCATCTGTAACTAAGGTAAAAGCAGGATTTTTGTTTGTTTGTTTGCTAGCTTGCTTGTTTTGTTTGGTTTTGAATTCCATCTGTGGTCAGAGGCAGATTGCAATTGTAACGTATGAAAATAAAGTTACTAGAATGTGAAACTGCTTTCATGGGAGGTTTAAAAAACTAAAAGGGTATTTAGACTTCTGACAAACTTTAACCACTGCTATTTAAAAAAATATGTTACTTGGAGAATATTTTTTAAAATGTTGTATTTGGATATATAATAATATGTACACCAATTTTTCATATGTGCATATGTAGATGTATTCATTTTGCAGTTTAAACTTTTCCTTAAATCATTTTGGCTGCTTGTGATGCAAGATTGACAACTGTGGAGTTCTTGTTTAGATATGCCCTTTTCATAAAAACTTGGTTCTTGGCAAAGAATAAAGAACACAGGCTTCAGAGTCCAATAGATGGATGCCTGAGTACAAACTTGTCAAAATTATGTGAGATATAGTGTGTGAAGCCCACTGTACACTATAGATATTAGTATGTAATAGAACTCATTGCTGTTTGAATCTTTGGAGGTGGACATTTTCTCATGGTATGTGACTCTACATCTCAGATCAGTAGAGTGGATAAATGTGTGTGTGTGCGCGCGCGCGCGCGCGCGCACACACACATATACTTTTGAGTTTTCTTACTCTCTTGTTCAGTCATAGCAAAACAAAATAGGAGTTTATTAACATAAACTAAGTTATCTAAGATCATGTCACATGATATCAACAGGTTTATAAGGAAAGTAAAACTTATAAGCAATTTCACTCTCAGAAATACCTATTGTCATTATTTATGTCCTTGGATACACTTGGGGGAATTTTAATCATATAGTCCTTCTGAGGTTTCTGCTATATGTGTCCTACTTATTAGCTTATGCTCTAGTTCTTTGATAAATTAAAGGCCATTCGTCACAAAATATGCTATTCCAGAATTAACCATTATCTGGAATCTGAACTCATTGCTTTATTTGGAAGTTAGCATAATATCCATATTACAGCTTTTGTTTCAGCACATTTATACATCACTGACATATATTTTTTATTTTATTATTTTTTTTCTCTAGTTAGAAACAAAGTCATACACTAGAAAATCATAATATCTTGTTCTCTTCCATCAAACAAAAACCAAAGGGAAAAACAATCTATTTTTAATATTAGAAACTGACAGCAAGCTGTTTTCTGGAGTTCTTCATGAAAAAAAATAATAACCATGCTATTACTCATACTAGTTGTCTTTGTGTGAATGATATCAAGGGCCAAAAGTTACTTGTAATTCATTTTCCTTCACACCAGGATCATTTGTTTTTGCTGCAGTCATAGATATAATGAATGACTCACCGATCTAATTTCCCTAAGTTTGGGCCAGAAAAAAAAAATTTTTTTAAATACACAAAAATGTATCAATTCACCACTTTTTGATGACTTCTTACATCATTTCTTGCCTTTATTCACACTTATTTTTGTCACCATTTTGACTTTGGGGAGCTTTAAAACTTTGATGCACTTAATAACTGTTTCATATTCTCGGATCCTTATTTCCATGGGTAAAATCCATC